ACTGGTGACTGATGGTACATGTTCAAGACTGAGTTTACCACACTATATGTCTCTGTGTTTGGTGTAAGAGACACACGTTTTCGGTGAGCCGCTACGCTGGCTGAATCATCCGGATAAAGTGTGTCACGCTTTGGATAGGATACAGATAGAGCCTCGTTTGCATCGTAGCCATGATCCGACTTGAAATCAAACGACAGGGCCTTGAGGCCTTCGTTGAAGGTGTCGGTATCGGACTCCCAAGGTTTTGTGGACTGCTCATCGCTGAGCATGATTGGTATTGATTCCCTGACGCCTAACTCTGATTGTTCAATGTCGGGTGTGTGAGAGACGCTGTTCTGAGCAGAGGCATGGAAGACGCTGGGTTGTAAGAGCTGCTCGTCCGAATTCTGGTGGGCTGCCGGCGGCGTAAGGACGAAACTCCCGGGTAGTCCCAGCACAGGCGATTCTTCAAAATCGGTCACTGCCGATTGCGGTTGGTCGGGCGGGGGTATGGTCAAGGTAGAAGTCTGGAGGCTCAAGTGCCGTTGGTCCGGTGGACATGAGTCTTGGTCGTGCGAGGGACGCTTCGCCTGGGCATGTGCCTCGAAAGACTGCTCAAGTTCAGCAACGCCGGGTAGTCCCTCTGACGGCTCCGGTTGGAGTTGGAAGCTGCTTGCAATTGGAAAGTATCCGTGTTCGTCCTGCCGGTCGGAGCTTCGGGAGCGGGAGGCAGGCGAAGGCTGGAGAGGCTGTCGTTCTCGCGAGTTCCGCAGTCGAGGCGATGTTGGTGGAGGCGGGGCGGTGACAACAGCGGCTACGCTTGGTCCAGGTCTCGCACCTAGAGGCGATTTTCCTCTTTCACGATATCCGCGGTAGGCTAGAGCGGGCAGCGTTGATTGGTCTGCACCACGTGAGGTTGGAGTGGCAGCGGCAGCGGCTAGCACCCTCTCCATTCTTGTGGGAGATGTCCTGTTGCTATGGCTCATTGCGCGTGTGGGAGTGTATTTTACGGAGCGGGTCGAGGAATTAGAGTCGGAGCCAATGCTCATTCGTCGTGTGGCTACGGGGATTCGTGAGCGTGGAGTGTGTCGCGCGGGTGACCGCGACTTTGTTTGGTCGTGGGACTGCGTGTGTTGCGAGTCCTGCAGCAATACTGCAGTCGGGCCACTAGCCGACCGTCCATGGCGTGAAGTGTGGTGGGATGTGGAAGGCAATGGAGCCTCTCCCAGCGTGCCATCGACAGTGGGAATTCCGAAGCCAGGCGATGACACATCCTGGCCAGTCAGTACTTCGCCAAATAGCTGGCGTTGACCAGATGTCGACGAGCGACTTTGTGAGGCTGATTTTGTTTTTGACGACGAGGCATGCTGGTCGATGCTGGCCTTTATGCCATTTGTGCGGCGCGTGTTCCGAGGGGTCGCGGGAGCAGGTTGGGGTCTTTCCCTTGGCTTCAGATTGCTGAACTTGTGGGGGCCATATGAGGCCTCTCTGCTGGGGCGCGCGGCCGACGCGGTGGATGAGACCGAGGCATTGGCACGGCGGTGGGCGTCGTACGAGATAGCCCTAGAGGGATCGCGGGACCTGGAGCGCAGCGTGGACGAGGCCGTGGGCGAGGTAGCTTCGGGGGAGCGTTCAAAGCGCTCAGCAAGTGCTTTTACTTTGTTTGACTGGTTTGGGGGGGAGCGGGTGGTCGAGGCGGAAGCGGGCGAGGCAGTGGCAGAGGCGGTTGTGTTTTTGGCGGCGTTGGCATTGGAGTGTCGGGGGCGCGCGGTGGGCATGTCTAGGCTGTGTTGCGGTGAGGCAGGAGCTTGGAGCTCGGTCGAGGTGGAGGTGTAGGCCGAATAGTACTTGTCTGGCGAGGCGGCCAGAGCATCTTCGGGGGGGTGCAGTTCGGTGGATTGCAGCCAGGTCGATACGGAGAGGCCGGGGTCGTATGCATATCCATGCGCCTGATCAGACTCCATCTCCCATTGCTGGCGGGCGCAGGAGCGCAGAGGCAAGGCAGCGCCGTCGTCGTGGGGAGAGGCGGTCCAGTGTCGGGCAGAGCAGCGGAGCAGGGCAGAGCAGCGCAAGGCAGAGCAGCAGCCGGGGTTGCCAGCGCAGCCAGCGCCAGCCGTCTATTGGACTGGGGGAGAGGCGAGGGGCACAGCCAATCGCGGCGGACACACGCCTGCCGTCGCCCAGGCCTGCACGGTTGAGCGTCACACCGGCTCAGAGGGCGTGAGAGCGGGTGCTTAGGGGGGAGGGGGTTCGTGGTCGTGGTCGAGGTTGTGGTGGTGCGCTTGGGGGGGAGTGTTGCCGGGCGATAGCGCTGCCACTGGGGACAGTGAAGGAATGCAGTCGAGGTGCCTGGTGCAGCCCCCCAGGATCGAGCTAGGAAACGGGACAACAACGGTGCCGCAGGGGGGACAGACGGCCTGGAGACGGCCTGGAGACAGGTGCAGACGGGCGTAGACAGGTGCAGACAGGTGTAGACTGACAGCGACGGGCGTGGGCTTGGAGCATCAGATACGCCCAGTGTTCCCCCATGCACTGCCTGCTGTCTGGCTGCCCGCCCGCCTGTTCCCTCCGCCTCGTCCTCCTTCTCGTCCTCGTCCTCCTCCTCCTGCAGCCACTACCACAACCATTCCCACTACTCTACATACGACTACCACATCTCGCTTCCCAGCCAGTAGCTCCAGGCGCCAGTTGGGCGAGCAGGCCATGCTAGCGAGTGCCGTCCTCCGTGTACACCTATTGTATCTATCGACTTACGTACCATGTGTCTATCTATGTACATGTGCATGTGTGCTTGCTGCACCCCCAGGGGCTCATGGCACAGATGCCACCCTCCAGCCCGTCCACCTGCGCTCGCCATCTGCAACCAGCGTGAAACCGAAAGAGCGAGTGCCATGACGGAACACAAATTCCAGCCATCCACCACCTGCTCTCCCCTGGCATGGCGCGTCCCGTCGCGTCTCTAGCGTCCCCGTAGCTTCACGCCCCACCACCCCTGCCCGGCCAAGCAACAACCACACGACTCGGCCACTTGCCCGACCACCATTCATCTGTCTATGTACCCATCCATCCATCCATCCATCCACCCATTCACTTGACCGCCCGGCCTTCCAAAACACCACGCCCACCATGAAGAGGAAGCGCGGCAATCATGACGGCGCCCGCACCGCCCCCGTGGGGGTGTCCAACAAACAATTGGCCGCTGCCGACCAATCCCCCATTGCCACACCTCCCCTCCTCCATCACCACCCCCATCCAGTCCTGCACCGTCTCTATCCCCAACTCCCTACCCTGCGCCACTATCTGCTGTCAAGGCTGCCCTCGTCGTTCAAGAATAGACGCCGGAGAATAGCCCTGCTTGGACGTGCTCCTCCTGCTCCAGCTCAAACTTCAGACACCAGCCCTGTGCAACATGTCGATTACACCGTGGCGCAGCTGCTCGACTCAGCTTTGGTCGGCTGTGCAGCACACGTAACCGCACAAGAACACGCACTTGCTGCCAAGGAACGTGATCAAGATCTACAGACATTCACGCAGCAGCGTTCACAAAGCTCCCCAGGGGCCACTTACAAACCTGGCTACTACAAGCAGCCCGAGGTATGTCGCGTCACGTGCCTGGCCTTTCCCGTGCTGCCCGTCTGCGCTGCATCTCCATGAGCCGCTACTGAGTACATGTAGATTGTTGACTATGTGATTTGGCGCCTGTTTACCCGCTCTTCCTCTTACAGGCCTGCCCATGTGCTCTGCCACGGCTTCCAAAGGGCTGCAAGAGCCCGCAGTGAACAGCACCATGACCCAAATACGAGGGCCTCTATCCCTGGCCTGCAGCAAGTCCACGACAACAGCCATGTGCAAACTCTAAAGGACCCGGTGTGGTGTCGATTACACGCGCTCTTAGGTCAAAGCGGCGACCGTATCATGATGGACCTACTTTTAGACTGCGCCATCTTTCTTCCCGTCGAAGCTAATATGGGAAACTACTACCAGCTCTCAGGCATGCCCCTGTCTGAAGTGCAACTTGACAGTGTCGTGAGCAATTGCCCAGGAAACCCTAATACAAACATCCAGCCAATTACAAAGTCGCTCTATCTCCATAGCGAGGACAGAACACCTGGGTCAATTGCATTTGTCCGTAGTCGCATGTTGTATGCAAAGGCCGCCCTGAATGCAAATGGGGGCATCAGATTCGGCCTGCGCCATATACGTGCGTTCCCTGTCTCATCAATTTGCACATCCTGACATGATTTGTAGACGTCTTGAATCGGTACCCTGACCGAGCCGACAAGCAGCAGACAGTTCACATCATGCGTTACATCTTTCCTCGTCAGTTTGGCTTGCACAATGTCTTCACTTCAAAGGTAGATGCTCGTGAAAGTGCCATGCCGTTCAAAGACTATACACTGCGTGAGAAGGATATCCATACTAGCATGTGCCGCCAATTAGGTGATAAAGCAACTGATGCTGGCCAAGTGGCCAAGTGGAAGTTGCGCGTCCCTAGGAGACTTCGAGACAACGTAATGAAGCTGATTGAAAAACTCCGAATTTTGAACCAACGCTGTTCGTACACGGAGCTGCTTCGCCACTATTGTCACATTGAGGTGTGTCCTACCCTTATCATGGATCATAGCCTGAACTGACTCCAACAGGGCATACCGTTATCTGCACAACCTGAATCTAACAAGGGTGTGGCCCAGCCCAAAGCGAATGTAACAATAGCCACACAACTGGCCCAGTGTGATCGTGCCCATTATCCCGTGTCTGAATCTAGCTCAATCCAGCAAACTTGTTTCCTCTACATGGCTTGTCCTGCAGCGCATGTTTCGGCCTTTTGCCGTAGCGTCATATCCAAAGTCATACCGAAAGCTGCATGGGGTGATGATCACAACGAGCACATTGTCATGTACTGGATAGACCAATTTGTAGCTTTGCGGAGATTTGAGTCGCTTACCCTACATCAAGTCACACAAAAGGTACATGTACGTCTTTTCAGCCCTTCTTGCTGGGTATGTACTGAGCCAAGACAGATTACTACCATTTCCTGGCTTTATCCACCAAGCCAAGACAAGGGCTATAAGCTCTCAAAGTCGGATCTGGACAAACGTACAGAGATATTCCTAGAATTTGTCTACTGGGTCTTTGACTCCTTCCTAATCCCCTTGATCCGAACCAACTTCCATGTAACGGAATCAAACGCTCATCGCAATCGACTCTTCTACTTTCGCCATGACGTCTGGCGTATGCTTGCCGAGCCTGCCCTGAAGACACTGCGTCTAAATATGTTTGAAGAGCTGCCAAAAGACCGAGCAACGAAGCTGTTATCCACACGTCAGCTTGGTTTCACTGACATACGCTTGCTTCCCAAAAAGCAGGGCTTCCGGACTATCATGAACCTCAGACGGCGACAACAGGTGTTGCGCCATGGAGCCATGGCGCTTGGGCGAAGCATCAACACAGTCATGACACCCGCCTTCAACGCCATAAATTACGAAAAGGTCAGTGTACTGTCCGTGCCGGATTAGCCGTACCTAACCACATTGTAGTTGTTACAACCCGACAAGTTCGGCTGCTCGCTATTCTCTGTTGGGGATATGCTCCCAAAATTAACAACGTTCAGGAACTCAATCAAACAGCGGGGCCTTGACAACAAACCGTTCTATTTCGCCAAGGTCGACGTGCAGGCCTGTTTTGATAGTATACCCCAAACACGTCTGTTGAGTATGGTCGAGAGTCTTATGTCGACACAGGAATACTACACAAGCAAGCACGTCGAGATGTCTGCCCTGGGTCCTCTGCAGCGCCTCAATGGCAACCATGTTAACCCCATGCCCCGTAAGCGCTATGTTGCATACAGTCATGCAGCAACTGATGTGACGCCTTTCCATCAGCTCGTGCGAGACAGGTTCGTGGGGACCAAGGCGAATACCGTCTTTGCGAACATGAACATGCAACGCTGTGAGACAAAAGATGATTTGATGTATCTCTTGCGGGAGCATATCGAGCGGAATGTAGTTCGGATTGGAAAGCGATTCTACCGCCAAAAGACGGGAATTCCTCAGGGTTCTGTCTTGTCGAGCATTTTGTGTAACTTTTTCTACGCTGAGCTTGAGCGAGACGTTCTTGGCTTTGCGCTTGGTGACGATTGTCTCTTACTGCGTCTGCTTGACGACTTTCTTTTGATCAGCATCACAGAGGAGCACGCCAAACGCTTCGTGCAAGTCATGCATCAAGGCCACCCCGAGTATGGTGTCGTGGTGCAGCCTGCGAAATCCTTGACCAACTTCGACGTGACTATAGCTAACGGTGAACGAATTGCTACAACCGGGTCAAGTGGGAAATTCCCTTACTGTGGCATCTGCATTGACACCACGACTCTCGAGATCAGCAAGAAGACCGAGCGGCCACCAAAAGCCGGTAAGTAGTATTGACCGACAGGTGGGTCGAAAGTGCAGAGTACTAAGTAAAGCAGTTGTTGAGGATTCTTTGACGGTGGATCTGGCAAAAATGCCGGGCCAGACTTTTCATCGGAAAGCTCTCAAGTGAGTTCCTTGATGGGGCCCCATGCCTGTTTTCCCTCTGCCAGCCAATCAGACTACAAAATGCATAGAAACGCCCGACATTGCGCTGACACATTGATAGCGCATTCAAGATCCAGCTCAAAGCCATGCTTATCGATCCATCGTTGAACAGCGTGGCAACCGTGCTAGCGAATGTATATCAAAGCTTCTATGAAGCGGCGGTGAGGTGCCTTGAGTATGCACGCGTGCTACTCAGAGTACGGAAGATGGGTTCAGGTCTGCTTATTAGTAAGTCGATTTACTTTTTTTTCTCTATCTGTAACTCCCGAGAACTCAACAGCACCCCAAACCGGCATGCAATCGGGTAGTAGGGGCTCATGCGCAGAACTGGAAAAAGCGAGCCAGAAGAAATGGGTGGGCGATCGTCACTGCTGGGCCGACCTGCGCTAGTGGGCCAAGTCCATCGACTGACTTGATTGCAGAGACTGTAGAAAACATCATCACGTTGGCATACGTGATGCTACAGCGCCGTTCGCGCTCTTGCAGGAGTAGAGAAGCGATAACTGCGCAAAGCGTCATCTCGCGCCGGCAGCTTAAGTGGTAAGTGCAGCATACCTTGGAATGATGTCGCATGGTGCGCGGGTGCACGCTCCATGATTCGTCGAGATCAACCCCATGGTTCGGAATATGACATGGGGGCGCTCATCTCGCCTGTTTCTGACAACGGCTGATTGACGAGATAGGCTGGGCTGCAAAGCTTTCCAAGCAGCGTTTCAGGGAAAGCAAACGCGGCATCGTGCTTTATTGGGCTGGCTTAAGGTCTCGTTATCGGCTGTATGCATTTCAAGCGAAATAGAACGACGCATGTTAGAGGCCGTAGCAGGGCGTTGAAGCTTAACACCAAGACATAATCTCTGCTCTACCAGGACACATGCCGTATTGTGAGAATGGATCGAACGCACACAAAAAATAGAGCACATGTAACCCAGCAACGGCGATGAAGAATAAAACTCCCGAAAACAAAAAAGCACTACCACTGCTGTAGATAGCAATGGTACCTGTGTGTTCGGCGGACCTTGATGGCTGGGGGAGCTAAGGAAGAAGCAAGCCAAGGATCTGTACCGGGGGGGCCACGCCACGCCATAATTAGCGGCGGCATGTAGACGCGAAAGCAAGGCTCGAGGCTTGGCTGCAGGACATTCGGGAGTGACGGATGGATAGCAGGGCGCGATGATGTCTTTGTTCGGTACTCGATGCAGAGCAATTGGGGATAGCAACAGGCGAAACGGCGTAGTCTTTACGCGGACCAGGCCTGGTTCCACGAAAAGCATCGCGATGGGGCGTGACAGACGGCCGTGGGCTCGGGTGATTGGCCCATCCACGGGCGATGGGGTGGTGATGTCAAGCGCACATGCGACGGGCTGGGACACCCCCCAGATACCTGGTGTGCTGGGGTTAAGTAGGCACCTTTTCCAACGCGGAGAGCTTTGTAAAACGCATTGCTAGTTGCCCGCACCGAGCATGGCCCGTTTGCAGAAGCATACATAGAAGGCTGACTCGACTTGGCCGCACTTGTCTCATAAGCTGGGCAGTCTGTCAAGACACGGGCACTGCATCTCCGCCCGGATGCCTATATACCAGCTTTCGCAAAGACAAAGACATTGGTTCGTAATTAAACGTGTTCAAGGCCACTTCAGCCGCCCATGGGCCCAGAGCACAACGAGGCCCACTGTTGGACACCCCTGTTCCCCATCTGAGAGATCAGGGGCTAGCGCCAGTTCCGCAAATTACGCCGCCGACGCTCAAGATGCCTGCCGTACAACACTGCCAGCAGCTGCCTCCTGTTGAAGAAGCCGACGACTCTGAATACCTCGACCAAGACGTCCACTACATCTCGCAGACAGAGTCGCTGTACATTGTATCCGAGCATCGTTATGTCCGCTCGCTAAGTCCGCCTCCCTGCGCGCGCGATTCCTGCGCAGACATCCTCCTTCACCGCATTGCCTCACCACCGCCCCTCGCAACACCCCGAAAACATCCCCGATCGCTCATGGCCACCCTCACGTATGCACAGGATGCGTCCTCGCACTTTGGCGCCCCGCCAGGCAGCCCGCCCGACCTGACAAACTCAAAGTCATCCAAGTCGTCGAGCATCCATTCATCCACCCTGCTCGACTTCATGGGCACCACCGAAAACCTCTCCCACTTTGAAGACATCAACCTTGACGAGACATCAGGCGGGCCGACTTCCTTTCCCATGCCCACAAGCCCGTCCAACCGCCTTGTCTACGAAGCTCCGCGAGCCCCCGCCTCGGCCAGGACACTCTCACATCCCACCCAACACTCGTTTCGTGACCTCACGGGTACAGCCAAACCAAAGTATCCCAGTCTAGTGGGCCCAGTTAGCCATGCCGTACAAAGACAGCAGACGCAGCTGTCGGCACCCGGCAAGATGGCCAGAAGAGCCTTGACTTCGCCATCGGCTCCCTCGCTCAGCACTCTGGGTCTTGCAGCGCCACATCGCTCCTCACGATCGCCCTCCCCATCAAATACTCACATATCCCTGTCAGGATCACGCACACTTTCCCGAAGAAGTTCCCGAAACGAGGTCTTGCCGTCTCCGAGTTTGGCTTCTAGAAGACAGTCTTGGCAAGACTCAAAACGAAAGACGGTCAAGGAAAGAGAGGCGGAGTGTGATGATGAGGATGATGAAGTTCCCGAAGACGCTGTCATCTGGAATATTCCTATATCACCGCGTCCCACACAAGAGCGATCCCCGGTACCCTGGACGGGTGACAATACTCCCCAGACGTCACCACTTCCCGGCACTGCAGAGTCTTCAGCAAAGCCATCTCCGGCGCCTTCGGTACACCACAGAGACCCATCACCAAATGTGTCTAGTAGGGGCGTATCCCCGAAATCACCGACACCACAAACTACATGGGCAGACACATATACTGCGTTGGACGCAGACGCCCGGAAGCTTACGGAAGCACTAGAGGAATTCCAATCCGAATATGAGCGGAAACAGGAAATCACGAGACAGCAGCCTGGGCTCGCAAGGTCAGCATCTATGAGCCAGACAGCACCAAAAACCAAGAAGCCGACACTCCCACCGGTGCGGAAGAGTGATCCACTCATCGATCCTTTTCAGCCATCCGTTGAGAAGCAAAAATACCTATCTCGGACACGGCCATCCTGGCTCCCACCAAAGGACCCCAAGGAAGAAAAGAAGCATCTCAAGGAATACCAGCGCATGTTGGCTCGGATCGAAGAGGCTGGTAAGTAGCATTACTCCCCATGCAGTTTGTTGAAAGACTGACTAACCGACTTAGAACGCCTTGAGGCTAAACGTGCCCAAGAAGAGGCGCTCGCTCGCGAAAAAGCGAGTCGCATCAAGGCGGAATACTGGTCCAGTTTATTACTTCCAAACTGGGCTACCGAAATGACGAATCCGGAGCTTCGAGCAACACACCGAAAGATGTGGTGGAACGGCATTCCACCACGGCTGCGGGGCCAAGTTTGGCAGAAGGCAATCGGCAACGACCTCGAAGTCACCGAGCTGACGTACAACATTGCGCTGGAAAAGGCGCAGGCAGAAGTAAAAGCACACGGCCACGAAGCGCTCGGAGGCCGTTACCTTTACATTATCCAGAGCACGCACAAAGTCTTTCCTAAGCTCAAGATGTTTGCAGCGCAAACATCGCTAGAGAATGACGACGAGCAGCCGCTCCACAAGGACCTGGTTAACGTGTGTTTGGCTTATTCCATGTACCGGCCGGATATCCCACATTCGAGCTTCGACATTCATCACATTGCCGCATTGCTCCTGCTTAACCTCTCAGCTCCGCAAGCCTTTATCGCACTGTCTAACTTGCTCAATCGCCCATTGCCTCTATCATTCCTCGTCCACGACCAAAATGCCATCCACGCCGCATACACGACCACTCTCCACGTGCTATCGAAGAAAGCACCAAGCCTCGCCCAACGATTAGAAACATTACGTGTCGAGCCCCGAGATTACCTCTTCCACGCCCTTGGCTCATTGTTCTGCGGACGCCTGGAAGTCGAGCACGCCGCACGCATCATGGATGTTTACACAATCGAAGGCGACAAGAACCTCCCCCGAGCCGCCGTAGCCATCTTGTGCATATTAGAAGGCAGCTGCATGGAGGGCGATGCCGCGCAGGTAGCGCGTACCCTCAAGGCCAAGAAGGTTGAGCTCGATGAAGACGATTTCATGGCTCGCGTGTACGAAGCGGGCAAGACGTCGTAGTAAAATGTCCTGTAATAGTAGTACATTTTATTATTTTTCGGGCTGCACATACACACACATATACTCCATACACAACACTCACTCACTCACTCACAAAGGAGAAGAGGGAGAGGGGCGCAGTTCAAAGTATTAATACTTGGTCAGTTTTTGTATAGTAGGCTGGGGTGGTAGGGGGTTAATTGGCACATTGTATTTTGGATAATACGAGACCGCTCTGGAGGGGAAGAAAGAAGAAAAAGGAGGATGGGAGAAAGAAAGAGGCAGAGACAGAGCAAGAAGAAAAAAAGAGGCAGAAAAGACGATGATATACGAACTTTACGCAGCGCGAACACTTTGAAAGTTTGTTTGAAAGCTCGACAGCATTTAAACCCCCCCCCCCCCCCCCCCCTC